CACCAGCCCACCTGGGACTGGTCCCCTCCCGGTGGCCCCACTTGGTGGACCCCCGGGACCCTCCCGGTGGTCCCGGTACGTTACCGATAAAACCCGAAACATTTTCGGTGACCAAAACAGGACTTCCCATATATAAATCTTTACCTCTGGACCATTTCGGAACTCCTCGTGACATCCGGGATCTCATCCGGGACTCCGAACAACATTCGGTAACCACATATAAACTTCCTTTATAACCCTAGCGTCATCGAACCTTAAGTGTGTAGACCCTACGGGTTCGGGAACCATGCAGACATGACCGAGACGTTCTCCGGTCAATAACCAACAGCGGGATCTGGATACCCATGTTGGCTCCCACATGTTCCACGATGATCTCATCGGATGAACCACGATGTCGAGGATTCGATCAATCCCGTATACAATTCCCTTTGTCTAGCGATATTGTACTTGCCCGAGATTCGATCGTCGGTATCCCGATACCTTGTTCAATCTCGTTACCGGCAAGTCTCTTTACTCGTTCCGTAATACATCATCCCGTGATCAACCCCTTGGTCACATTGTGCACATTATGATGATGTCCTACCGAGTGGGCCCAGAGATACCTCTCCGTCACACGGAGTGACAAATCCCAGTCTCGATTCGTGCCAACCCAACAGACACTTTCGGAGATACCTGTAGTGCACCTTTATAGCCACCCAGTTACGTTGTGACGTTTGGTACACCCAAAGCATTCCTACGGTATGCGAGAGTTGCACAATCTCATGGTCTAAGGAAATGATACTTGACATTAAAAAAACTTTAGCATGTGAACTACACGATCTTTGTGCTAGGCTTAGGAGTGGGTCTTGTCCATCACATCATTCTCCTAATGATGTGATCCCGTTATCAACGACATCCAATGTCCATGGTCAGGAAACCGTAACCATCTATTGATCAACGAGCTAGTCAACTAGAGGCTTACTAGGGACATGGTGTTGTCTATGTACCCACACATGTATCTGAGTTTCCTATCAATACAATTATAGCATGGATAATAAACGATTATCATGAACAAGGAAATATAATAATAATAACTAATTTATTATTGCCTCTAGGGCATATTTCCAACAGGGAAACCCTTTTTCGGTAATATGTCTCTAGTTTCAGTGGCCTTTACAAGCTAGGGCAGGGTGATAGTGATGCAAAGGGACTATATTCAAATTTTGGGTTTACTTAAGTGTATCTATATGTATAGATTAAGAATAGGTGAAATTTGAGGTTAAACCGAAAGAAAATTGCAAACACCTATGAACTATAAAAGGAAAATGATTCAAACAATTGACTGGTCGAGGGACCCGCACGCCGCACGAGCTCGGCTCCCCTCACACTTGTCTTTCTCCTCTTGCCTCAACTACATGTGTCGCCTCTCTCGATATCTCTACGGCGAGTCCTCATCCAAGCCTGCCATCCTTCTCCCCTAGTACCACTCCATTCTTCCTCCTTGGAGAATCCATATCCTGCCATGTATGTTACTGACGACATTTTGCGCCATGGATCATGGGTGACTCCATTCTGGACCTCTCAAGGTCATGTCACTGAGCTTTTCGGGAATGCGGAGGAATGGAACCAAGGTTGCTTGATTCGGTGCTGACAGGGCTCTGGCGAGCCTGAATTAGCGAACTCGTTGCCTCCATTGTGTATGGTCAGAGGTTAGCGATCTTGGGGATCTTTCGGGTGTAGGCTTCAACATGATTTTCTCATGCTGCGAATGTGTTTGTTTGTTGCTGCGCGCATTGTCACACATGATGCTTGCGTCAGTTTTCATGTTGTGAATATTGACACACTTTTTCTGCGTTTTTGCTACAACGAATGAGGATTTATTGCATACAAAGAATTTATGATAACACTAGATAAATGTTACGTACCCCAGGGGAAATGCTATGTTGGAAGATACCTTAAACATATAAGGTTCAACTAATGTTTCAAACTGTTATGAAGTTGGGGTCTAGAGTATCATTTTTTTAATGAAATGGAAGCTCTTTTATTGAATATTTGCCATGTATGTAGATGATACAAAAAAAGAAAACACTCTTGTCCGTTTATTTTGTTTGCCACAACTAGTGTACGTCATCTTCACATCCCGGCTGCTCCACCAGTCGTCGGACATATTGTGCCGGCTCTTGTGTGTGCCGCCAATTCTCCCTCCTCATCCTACATTTGGTTACACTTTTTGTGTGTGTGCATTAATCATCGCAGAGGCCGGAAAGAAATAGAGCTTCTACTTCATTTATTTTTTGTGAGGGGAACTCAAGTAGAGAGCCGAAGGAACCAAGGCAGGCAGCTTCCATGACAACTTTTGTCATGTCATGTAAATGCTTGGAACCGCCAATTTCAGTGATGACTTTCATACTCTTGGGAGAGATGAGGAACTTGATGCACGCTGGCAGTGCTATCACCATAGCCAGAAGTTATCGCGTCGCGGTGCCGTGCTGGTGGAGACACGTTTGCAACAGCATGCATCTCTGCTTGCACATCAGCTTGAGCCTTTCCATGCTCCAAGTAATCCGGGTGCGCCATTGTGGTCGCAGCTTCGTCACCCTTGTTCATATCACCAGGCACCGTTTCTATTTTTCTTTTCTTTTCAAAATGGAGGTATAAGAGAAGAAGTTTCTACTTTTGTAGAGCAAAAGGGCCTGGCCCCGATTCCACTGAAGAAATCAACCATGCATACATTAGAGTTATTATTATACCTGTAGCAATTCCCGCAAAAAATAGTAATTATACGTGTAGCAAGGCTGTCTGGTGAGATGAACAGCAAAAGGCTGCTGAATTTACAAGGCCCCGCAAAGGTCATGCCGCAAGAGATTTATATACAAATATACCTGTATAGGGCAAATCCAAACCTAAGCACGACTCCTCATCTCCAGTAGGAAGAAGAAGAAGATTGGACAAGACTCTTTTTTTTTCCTTTTTTTAAATTTTTTTTAAGAAGAAATCACCTACGGTAAAGAGACGGATATAGCTGTTGGTCCTTTACTTTTAATAAGGAAATAAGGAAACACCTCCGAATTATGTCGGAGACATTTCTGAAGTACCGGCACCAAAAACGCAGGCGCTGGCGCTTTGACGGTGGCGTGAAGAACTCTGACATGCCCTTCTTAAACCAGGGCTCATCACAGTACTGGAGATTGAACATGGCAGTGGACACAAGCCAGACGACGGTGATGAACTCTCCGCCACTGTTGAGCTGCCTGGCATGGGAATCCCTATTGCAGTGGTGCGCAGCATAGCACAACATCTCCACCCACACCCCAAGTACCACCCGCCGCACCTCCGGCGGTGGCCGCCGCAACTCCACCTCTAGCAGCCTAAGAGCAAGGTCCGCTCCACGGGCCAAGGCAGGTGAAGGAACAGGCCCCATACGCAGCTCCTCGCTTCTTTTGTCTAGGTACACCACATCTGTCATTATTCTCTTCAGCTGCTCCATGTTCTCCCTTGCCTCAGAACTTCTTTTCTCCAGCTCCTCCCTTTCTCTGTCCAGATCCTTACATCTATCGGCCAGCCATCTATCGCCCAACTGCTCCTCCCTTGTTATGTCCAGATCCTCCCTTATTATGTCCAACTTCCCCCGTGCCCATCTGTACAGCTCGGCCCCATCCCTTCTTGTGTCCAGATCCCACATTCTTCTTCTTCTTCTGTCCAGCTCCCACCTTCTGCTGATGCATTTCACGCGAGGAAGATCAAGCCGCCCAATATATGCTGCTTCAATATTGGCATACAATCCAGGCCGAACAGGGCTAGGCAACATGTATGGGCGTTCAAAAAGGAGGAATATCATGTAGTTAGAGACTGCCCTGATTGCCTCCCCAACATAACCGCACTCCTCCCCTTGAGGCGATAATGAGAAGAACATTTTGGTGGCAAAGTACCAGGAAAGGATTTTGTCATCAAAATAAATTCCAACATGCGAGGTGGGATCCTCAAAGAATTCGCTCCATGGATTCAGCGCACACTGACCGCTATAACTCCTCATCATCTCCTCATTGCCTTGACATGCCCCCACCATTCTGCTTACCTCTCCCAACACCGACTTCTTAGTACCATCTGAAATGACAGCCAAGGAGTGGTGCAGCTTCTTCCACAAATCTTTGCATCCCATTCCCAGGCACTGCACGGACACGCAACCTCCACTGCCATGGGGCGAGTTCACCAACTCGGGCTGTCCAATGGAACCTGACCATCTTCTATTTCTTTCTGCAGCCTTGACACATCGCCGGACAGATACAACTATGTTGTGAAGCCGGTGCCATCTTCTAGCACGCAACAATGCACATGTCCATGTTGATCCGATTAGCTTCAATAATGCCATCATTTCCAGGAAGATAGCCCCAACTAGTAAGATGTATGTGACAATGACATCAACTCTGTTGAAGTCATTTTTGCCAATGCTTGATTGAAATAGGAAGAAGGCGGTGATGGTGGCAACTGATGAAATGGCACGGATGAAGCATCCATACCATGTAAAGACCACCGCTGCCTTTGTATACAGGAAATCATACATCAAGGAGAGCTGCATCTCAACCAACTCGAACATTTGGCCCTTGTTAGCAAATAGCTCTAAGGTTTGACTCTGCAATGTAGATGGCCAGAACTTATAGTCCACCAACTGAGCCATGCAAATGGGGAGCAGGTCATGAGCTCCCTGTAGAACCTTTTCAAGATCCAACTTCTCCCCTTGGTCAAGACCTCCCTGCAGAGTCTCTTCAAGATCCAACCCCTCCCCTTGGGTCCATGGTGCACGCCATTTTCGTTTAGCCTCACTCAACTTCCTACTGTCGAGGAATCTACTCATGTTGTCCAGGCTGGAGGACTTGAGCGCCCATACTCTCTCCCCATATTTGAGAAAACCACTGACAAATATCATCGCCGAGACTTTGACCAAGATCGAGCTGCCAGCGACATACTTGTATAGGACATAGGCCACTCCCGCTGTCTGCATAACAAATGAGAGCAGGTGGCGCGGCCAGAGCTTGTTGTCTTCTATGGAGTAGGCTGTGATGTTGTCCTGGCCACCAAGATGCACCAGCAAGAACGGCGCCCAGAACGCCATGAGCTGTTGGTGTCCGTGGGACTTGCCAAAGAAGGTCATGTGGCCAAGGATGTATACCGCTATGTAGTCTGCCAGCAGGTATGCTAGCCAGAGGAGGTTCCTTGGGACAATGGAGATGTTCCGCCGTCGCATCCCGGCGAACATGAGCAGGAACACTTGCAGCATGAAGCTAACAAGCACTAGGATCTGGACCCCCCAACCATTCCATAGGCGCATCACTCCAGCCATCAGTGACCACTGAATACACAGGAGAATCATCATATTACAAACAAATTAGTTGAAGTACATACATACATTTCCTTCAAAATAAGTACACACGAAACCACAGAGACAATATTACAGCCACTATGACAGTCAAATTAAACTATTAAATTTTGCATATACTAATGCAATGTACATGTAGTGCGGGCGTTTGGTTCCGGCGTTCTTGGCCGCGCGGGCGGCGGAATCTCGGAGGACGAGGGCGACGGCGCCAGATCTGGCGCCCCTCCTCCCTGTACGGCGTGTTCTCCCCCATCCGGCCCGCTCGTGTTCCATGGGACGCCGGCGCTGGTGGTGCTAGTGGTGGGGAATCCAGTCCGGGCGAAAGCCATGGCCGACCATGCTCGGCTGCGTCGACGGCGACGCCTGAGGGCGCCGTGTCCCTCCTTGGAGGCGTCTGACAGGTCTGATCCCCCCACTCCCCCTTCCCCTAGTTCTCCCGGGCGAAAGCTCCAACTTTGTTGGGCGGCGGCGGCGCCATCGGCGTCGTATCCTTCTTGAAGGCGCCGTTTAGGGAGCTTGGTGGTCGGTGGGCGCTGTTGGGGTGCGGGGGGTGGCGGCGGTGGTACCCTCCTCGTCCTAGCTCTTGCTTTCCATCGCCATTGTATCTTTCCGCTCTGCAAGGTGGTGGCGCTGTCTAGAGGACGGCGACGTTGGTGGAGCGGTGCTTCATCTTTCACATTGATGATGGCGGATCTCGGCGGCATGGTGCTGTGGAGATTCGGCGTCTGATGCGCGGAGATGGACTCGTGCAGGAGGAGGAAGCTGTCTGGCATCATGGGGACGTCGATGGCAGACTGGCCAGACAAGGTAGAAGCCTCAATTTGATCTGAAGACGGACCTGTGGAAGATGGCGGCGACGACACACGAGTGCGTCTGACCGGATTGCGCCCCAGACCCAGTATGTGGCTCGGCTGGGGTTACCGAATGAGTTTCGGCTTCCGGCTTTTGATGTTAGGCTTAGGTGAGTGGTTTGGATAGTGGCCCAGCTAGCACCCCCTCATCATATTGGATAGGAGTAGCGGCACATGTTGCCAAGATGGTGGATTCAGACACATTGTTGTAATACTTTGTATGGTTATCGAGAATAATCAATAAAGTGGCCGTATGCATCTCCCAGATGCAGAGGCCGGGGGTCATCCTCCTTTTCTAAAAAAAAAAACATGTAGTGCAAGCATGAGAACATAACCAGAACATACTAAGAACTATTGGCTCACATGTAACTTCTTTATGTAAATTCGCAAAAAAAAAAAAACTTCTTTATGTAGCTCACAGCGGAGCATCTTTTAATTAGTAGAGACTAGAGAGGGTACTCAAAAGTCATAGGAGTTTATGAAATTCATTTCCAAATATACATTGTATTTCTTATATACTTGTAATAATTCTATGACAATCTAGAGATCTAGACCAACCTAGTAGCACTATTTCAATCTTGACCTGCCAAACAAATGATCTAGACACTTTCTTTTTGATATTTTAAATTTCTATTAAAGGTAGGTGGAAATGACGACACTTGGGCGGGTGCCATATCGCTAGAACCTACTACTATACATATTTCTTAGGAACAAAGAACCAACTAATCATGCAAGTCACTTGTGCTCGACTGATGTGCTGAGCTAGTAATCCTCCTACAACGCTTGAACCAAATATTTCGTACTGATAAGGGCTCAACTTATAAAATATAATACATTTCCCCAAGACGAAATTTCAGGAAGATATGAGCCACACCCTACAATTTTTGTATCATTTGCAGAGATCGATGCAGAGAAAACGGTACTAGTAGTAAATTTCATGTACAGTTTGTTGTTTTGTAGAGCACCTAATATAATTTGCAGTTGATCTAGATCTTAAGACATGTAAAAGAGATTCACCTCGATGGCAGAAGCAGGCACGAGGGAGGGAGGGAGGTTTGTTGCAGAAGAGCAGCAGGACTCCCAATCCTAATTAGCTCGCTAAGTATCCATGGGATATTACAAAGATGCAGCACTAGTTGATTTGGGTTGGTATTATGGTTGATGAGCAAGCCAATCACTACTTGTCCCCCAGCTAGGACCATTATATCTATATCGAAGGCTGCTGAAGAACCGTCTTTCCTGACCAGCCCACTAGTCTCTTGTAAGCTTTTCCTCTTGGATGGAGAAGGCACCGACCCTGCCAAGCAAAGTAAGTAGTATTAAAGCTCGATGGGAAGATAAACTAGTCGTTAGCAAAAACTGCACGGTAGTGAACATTGCGCTTTGGATGATTTTTGCTTTTGCTGGTGCAGAAGCTTGGAAAGACAAGAATCCAAGAATCCGTCCTGCTCGAAGCAAGGCATGATTTTTACTAGCTTGGAACAAGAAAGGTATTACCCCTTTTTTCGAAATAACAAAGGTACGTACAATCTATATCTATACCTATATATATATATACCTACTATTAAAGGAAATAGGTATTCTTGGTTTGGTTTAGTCCTTTTCGTTTAGTTTATACATGCTAAGCAATCTGGGCCAGGTATTTGTATATCGATGGGCCTTTTATGGGCTTTTGTTTGGTTAAACACGTGACCTCCTATCTAGCTCTTTGATGTAACAACCAACGACCTATGCGCCTTTCACATTTACTAATCCCAACTCCCTCTAAATATAAGAGTGGCAGTCATCATGTTTATGGCGAGCTAATTAGGCGAATGAGCTAATAAAAGAAGGATTGTGGGCTTAAATAGAAAATTCAAACGGATGTGGCTAATTAAAGAAAGGATATGGGTAAACCGGTGGAATAACTAAAAGAAAGATTGTGGTCTTAATAAATTCTACATGAAGGATTTGAGGTAAAAAGGTAGGATAATTAAAAAGAAGGATCTGGAGGCTTTAATGTGTTGGGCCTACTAAATTAGAAAATGAAGGATTTGATTCCCGACTAAAACGGTGAGGACATCATGGTAATTAATGAAATGATTATAATTAAATGCCATTAAAAAGGATTTTACTTAAATGAAATCAATGTGGTAGTTACAATGGTAGGTTTCTGACTTGTCCAGACCAATGTTGCGAGACAAGGTCAAACAAGATGGGAATTGCCCCTCGGAACTGTTGAGATATACTTTAGCCCCCTCGTGTGATCCGACCTGGATATGTATGGCCATGCAACGAGGATTATGAGATAATCTGAGGGTTGGTCAGATTCACTTGATCGAGAAAGAGGTCGGGCTGCAACAAGGTTGACCACCTCGCTTTTAGCTCGACAACATATCAAAGGGAAAGGAAGTATGATGTACATGTTCGTCAACCAGCCTCATAGTCTGCTTGCTTATTGGCACGCTTTGCTAGAGGCCGCTACCAACCGAGCATGTCTGATGCGGAGCATCCCTCGCTCATCCCCATGGACACATCTACATCTTCCTCAACACCGCTTGGACCCATGACACGAGCCCGAGCTAAGGCTATTGAAGATAAGGTGAACTCGCTCCTCTCCGAACTTCCTTTTCCTACTCACGAGACATGGCTACTACCTCATCCAGAAACTCTGTGCGTGATCAGGTGCTTGGAAGCGAGCCACGAAACAGCTACGTACAAGAGCCAAGACGGCGAGGACCCCAAGCATGATGGACAAGAAGAAGAGCTGCCATGGAAGCTACAGGCGTGCCAGGACATGGACGTCCGGTACTTCGCCACCCGAACCGAATCTACGGACGTCCGAGGCGGACCGGACGACCGGACGACAAGCATCCGAGCTGAATCTATGGACGACCGCCGAACTCCGGACGTCCGGACCGTCCCGAAGCTCCGGACGACCGACCCTCTCCGGACGTCTGACGCGCACACGACAGAGCCGAATCTACGGACGTCCGAGTCCGTCCGGACGACCGGACCTTCCCAAGCCTCCAGACGTCCGACCCCTTCCGGACGTCCGGCACCTGAGTGACCTCGCCCGCGGGCTGGAGCCCATGCACCCGTTCACTTTGACTTCTATTTGCACTAAGACTATAAATAGGTCTCTCCCACCTCCTATCTAGGGTTAGCATAGGTTTAGCTCATATTTTGTGTGAGAGCCTTGCTCATCCACTTGGTTACTTCTCCTCGGAGCTCACGACCTCTTCGGAGAAGATCCCCCAAGCGGATTCAAGACCCCTTTGTAGGGAAGACCATCAAGACCTTCGTACGGAGAAGAACGGTTCCTTTGTATCCTTACCTTTGTTGAATATGGATCATGTGTTACTATTTGCTCTTGGTGATCTAGCACTCGTGTGATTGATTCTATGTCGGTTTAGAGTTTCTCTCTCGTTTTCCCCGTGTTTCCCCTTTGTGCTTCCGCGTGTTCTTCGTGATTCCCCGTAGGATCCCCTCCAAACATGAAAGATCGTCCACATAGGGTTCCGCCCTACATCATCTTGGTATCATGAGCCACGTTGATCACATTTTTGGAGCCCCTACCCCGTGTTTCCTAGCTTGATTTTGTTGTTTTCGTCCTAAATCCGAAAATTCCCCACCAAAAATAGCCCCGAATTTTTTGTGATTTGTTGGTGAGTTGAGATTTTGTTGGATTTGGTCCATGGATTTGTGTTGCTGCGTGTGGATCTAGCTTCCCCCACCCTCCCCACCCCTTTCCATCCGCCAATCTGCTCGATTTCAACCTCACCATCTTCTTCTTCCCCGGAATTCTCGCAGTTCATCTTCCCGTGCCAGATTTTCGCCCAGGCTCCGGACGACCGGAAAAGGCCGGACGTCCGACGAACTCCGGATGACCGTAAAAACCCGGACGTCCGTGAAACCCTGACGAAACTGAATTTTGCCAGTTCAGCCACTCCTCAACCCCACTTTCCACCACATCTTCCAAAACCACATACACTAACATATTCCCCGATACCTCCTATGACGATTTTGCCACATTTTGGTCCTTGAGATTTCGAGTTGTGACTCCCGTGTCCTATTGTGTTTCGGCTATCTAGGTACGGTTCGATTTCATCATCACCACGGCTCAACTTCTCA